TGGCGCTCCACCAAGGGTGACATAGACAGACTCTGTCTCAAAAAAAACAAAAACAAAAAAGGCTACCATTGTCATATTTATGGACACCTGGGGTTTCATTCAAATAATCTAGTTTGGGAGGGAGAAGATAGGGGTGTAGGTGAAACAAGATTAGCCATGAAGCAACAGCTCTTGAAGCTGGGGTTCATCATTCTTTATCTCTACTCTGAAGCTTTATTGGGGTTCATCATTCTTTCTCTCTACTTTTGTTTCATTTTGTTTTCCTTTGAGATAGAGTCTCACTTTGTCACCTTTGGTAGAGTGTCATGGCATCATAATTCACAGCAACTTCAAACACTTAGGCTCAAGAAATCTGCTTGTTTCAGCCTCCTGAGTAGTGGGGACTAGAGGCACCTGCCAAAACGCCTGGCTATATTTATTTATTTATTTATTTATTTATTTATTTTTGAGATAGGGTCTTGCTCCTGCTCAGGCTGGTCTTGAATTCAGGCAATCCACCCACATGGGTCTCCCAGAGTACTGGGATTATGGGTATGAGCCACTGCACCCAGCTTCTACTTTTGGATGTTGGAAATTTTCTATAACAAATATATGCCTTTGACTGTTTTCTTTTTTGTTATTGAGACACAGTCTCACTCTGTCACCCAGAATAGAGTGCTGTGGCACCATAGCTCACAACAACCTCAAAATCTTGGACCAAGTGATCTTCTTGCCTCAGCTTCCCAATTAGCTGGAACTATAGGCACCCACCACAATGCATAGGTAATGTTTATATTTTTAGTAGAGATAGGGGCTTGCGCTTCCTCAGGTTGATCTCAAACTCTTGAGCTCAAGCAATCCACCCACCTCAGACTCCCAGAGTGCTTTATTGGAGGCGGACTTGGATTTTTTGAAAAAAGTCCAAGGAGTGTCATCGTTAAAATTGGAACAAATTTAATCTCCCTTCCTCCATTTCTAGTTATTTCAGCATGAAGGGAAATATCTCTAGTCTGACATACTGTTTAGCTTCACTATTTTATTTTATTACATTAATTTATTTTGTAACAGAATCTCTTTTGCCCAGGCTAGAGTGCAGTGGTATCATCGTAGCTCACTACAACCTCAAGCTCCTTGGCCTTACATGATCCTCCTCCCTCAACCTCTCAAGTAACTGGGACAGGTGCACACTACAATGCCTGGCTAGTTTTCCATATTTTTTGGTAGAGAAAAGGTTTCACTGTTGCCGCTGATCTTGAGCTAACCTCAGTAATCCTCCTGCCTCGGTCTCCCAAAATGCTAGGATTACAGGTGTGAGCTACTGTTCTAGGCCTGATTTTACTTTATCTTTCCTGTGAGGTCAGGGTTTAATCGCCTTTCCCATGCAAACTTTTTCCTCCTTTGATTCATTAAAAGCTACAAGAAGCACCAAAAGCAAGTACTTCAAAAGGATTCAGGCACATGCTTTGTTTTCTCATTGCCACCTAACGTCTCTTCTTTACAGATGAGGCTCCAAGAGGCTGATTGCCCATGCCCCACTGTTAGAGGAAGTGCAACTCCACCTGGCCCTTACCTTTCCCTGTGCCAGATCAAGGCTGGGGACCCAGACGACCCAGGGTGGTGTGGTTAAGGAACCCAGGGTTTTTCCTTCTTGAACAGTTGATATGCAGCAGGGACAGCCTGTGATGTCCCAGGATTGGAAAGCTAGAGGAGCCTAGAAGACCCCACTCCTGCCTCCTGCCAAGTGGAGAATTCTCTGGGTGAGATGGATTTTTTCTGGTAAGTGGATGTGGGACCTTCTTGTGTACCTCCTGGAGAATTCAGAAACTGAGAGTGTGTCCTGGCTCTTCATTTAGGTGCTGGGGCTGAGGACAGCCTAAGGACAACCTGAGACAGCTGTAAAGGGGAGGCTCAGAGAGGGGTGTGCAGGAGATGGAGGAAGGAACAGGTGCCTCTCCCTGCACTGCCTCCACCCTCCTCCCTCACAGCCCAAGGAAGAGGTCCTTTGAGGGGGAGGGAGAGGATCTTCATTGAGGAGGGAGGGCATGTGGGGAAGGAAGCTGTGGACAGCATGAGTCAGGCTCCTGGGGACACAACTCAGGTCCTTTCCCCAGGGAGAGCTCAGCTGTTGTTCCTGTCCTGGGTGTGGTACCCGGCATGTAGCTAGGATCCCAAAGAGGGACAGTCTCCTCTATGGCTCAATTGTCATTCTAAATCTTGATGGCTGTATTTGAGCTGTCAAGTGCAGCATCTGGATTTGAATTCCTATCCAAGGAATAAAGAACTTTTGCAGGAGCAATAAATGGCTGCTAAGTTTTTCCAGGGAGAGTTTTACCATTTGACTGGCCAGCTGCTGACGTTTCACAGCTTTATCCAGACATTAGTATGAGTGGGTCTTCTTGAAAGTATTTTGACATGAAGAGGGAATCACTAGGGTGCCACCTGTAGCTCAAAGGAGTAAGGTGCCAGCCCCATATGCCAGAGGTGGTGGGTTCAAACCCAGCCCCGGCCAAAAACTGAAAAAAAAAAAAAAGAAAGAAAGAAAGAAAAGAAAACGGAATCACTATAAACCTCATCCTCAAGTACAAATAGTGCCGATGCTCTCTCAGAGGCCCTGCTGTAGCACTATGTGAACCCATTAGATTGGCAACAAGCTCTAGTCTAATTTCTCAAGGAGGACAACAGACAAACTTAGTCACGATAGACATAAGCAGACCTCAAAGATACCACAGTATTGTCTAAGGCCCAGAAATAGCATCAGCAAGCCCTCAAGGGCAGGCTATGGGTCACAAGCAAATTCAGGTTCAGGTAAGAAGATATTCATAAAAAGAACAAAAATTGGGTTCAGCACCTGTGCACAGTGGTTATGGCGCTAGCCACATACACCCAGGCTGGCGGATTTGAACCCAGCCCTGGCCAGTTAAATAACAATGAGAACTGCGACGACAACAACAAAAAATAGCTGGGCATTGTGGTGGGCACCTGTAGTCCCAGCTACCTGGGGAGCTGGGGCAAGAGAATTGCTTAAGGCCAAGAGTTTGAGGTTGCTGTGGGCTGTGATGCCATGGCACTCTAACCGAGGGCAACAGCTTGAGACTCTGTCTCAAAAAACAAAAAAAAAGATTAAACATATATGACTTTTTTTTTCTTGAGACAGAGTCTGTGTCACCCTCGGTGGAGTCACCTCACAGCAACCTCAAACTCTTGGGCTTAAGCGATTCTCTTGCCTCAGCCTCCCAAATAGCTGGGACTACAGGTGCCTGCCACAACGCCTGGTTATTTTTTTGTTGCAGTTGTCATTGTTGGTTAGCTAGCCCAGGCCGGGTTCCAACCTGCTAACTTAGGTGTATGTGGCTGGCACTGTAATCACTGTGCTATGGGTGCCAAGCCCATATATAACTTTTTAAAATACCACTCTCATTATAACATTTCCTACATCTTGGACTTGTTTTGTTTGGAAAGGTAGTGTGGTATCTTAGAATGAGGAATCCTTGGTTTCCCTTATTTTATTTTATTTCTCATTTAGGTCAAAAGATGAAAAAGAAAGTCCTGCTTTAAATCTCACCTCAGAAGCTGGGCACCATGGTTTGTGCTTGTAATAATCCCAGCTACTCAGAGGCTGGGGTGGGAGGATAACTTGAGGCCAGGAGTTTGAGGCCAGCCTGGACGACATCATGAGATCCTTGTCTCAAAAAAAAAGTTCCACTTCTGATGTCCACTACCCAGTGTCTGGTTAAGTTTCCTAAACCTTGGGGTGCTTTGTAAGGAGTAGAGATAATGTGAGGATTGAGTGCCCCACACAGTATTTGGCATAAGCAAGCTCTATTATGCAAATTGTGGATACATCTACTGTTTTTGATTAATCTCTTCTTCTTTTTAACAAAGTCTCACTATGTCGCCCTCGGTCGTAGAGTGCTGTGGCATCATAGCTCGCAGCAACCTCAAACTCTTGGGCTTAAATGATTCTCTTGCCTCAGCCTCCCAAGTAGCTGGGACTATAGATGCCCACCACAATGCCTGGCTATTTTTTTGTGGCAGTTGTCATTATTATTTAGCTGGCCTGGGCCGGGTTCGAACCTAGTGTATATGGCTGGCACCATAACCACTGTGCTGTGGGTGTTGAGCCTGATTAGATAATCTTATTATTGTATTGAATATAATAAAAGCAGCACTGAAAAATGGAGGTTCCATGTAGTTAAAGGGCTAAGCATTTGACATTACTGAACTAAGCATTTAAACAGATAATTCCTCAAACCATCCTCCTTGGTGGTGGAGGTGGTAAGATTCAAAACCAGAGGTGTGCAGTGAGGCTGCTTTGCCTGCTTTGCCTCATAGGTTGTGCAGGGGCTGAAAGTAGAAGAGGGGGCTTTGTGTCCAAACCTGCAAAGGCAAGAATTCAGATGTGGGTGACTTTGAGGGGTCAGATATCCCTAGAGAGGCCCAGAGAAGATAGCTCTTCAGGGGTAATTATAGGTATACTGCTAGGACTTGGAAGGTCCGGGAGAAACCCACTGGGTGTCACCAGTTAAACCTTGCCAGGACATGGGGGACTAGCCAAGATTCTAGGGAATTAAGCAAGTAAATTGCACATTAGTGACCAACCATAAGAGAGAAACCTAATGATCGGATAGGTAGCCCCTAATATACTTTCTCTAATGATCAAAAATAATTAGACTCCAGAAAAACAATACTGGGTATGATAAAGAGTCCTGAGCTGGGCAGTGCCTATGGCTCAAAGGAGTAGGGCGCCGGCCCCATATATATACCCGAGGTGGAGGTGGGTTCAAACCTGGCCCCGGCCAAAAACTGCCAAAAAAAAAAAAAAGAGTCCTGAGCTTACTGGAATGTCCCAATAGCTGGGATCTGATTTAACAGACCTGGCAGTCCAGTGTGAGGGGAGCGGCTCGAGGGGGAGACACCTCCGCTGCCACTGCAATAGACTGCCTCCAGGCTTTCGGGCCCCCACGCTGGGCCTTGCTGTCAGGAAGCTTCAGTTCCCCGGCTCAGTTTGCTGCCACCTCAGATTTCTTTACCTCCAGAAAGAAAAAAATTGACCCCTAGCATCCTGGAAGATTATTTAAGAATCTGAAATTAGGGACTTCTTTCAAATTTGGACATGGCTAATCGAGGTGCAACAAGACCCAACGGACCGAATACTGGAAATAAAATATGCCAATTCAAACTAGTACTTCTGGGAGAGTCTGCTGTTGGTAAATCAAGCCTAGTGCTTCGTTTTGTGAAAGGCCAATTTCATGAATTTCAAGAAAGTACCATTGGGGCTGCTTTTCTAACCCGAACTGTGTGTCTTGATGATACTACAGTAAAATTTGAAATATGAGATACAGCTGGTCAGGAATGATACCATAGCTAAGCACCAATGTACTACAGAGGAGCACAAGCAGCCATAGTTGTAGGTGATATCACCAACGAGGAGTCCTTTGCAAGAGCAAAAAATTGGGTTAAAGAGCTTCAGAGACAAGCAAGTCCTAACACTGTAACAGCTTTATCAGGAAACAAGGCTGACCTAGCAAATAAAAGAGCTGTAGATTGCCAGGAAGCACAATCTTATGCAGATGATAACAGTTTATTATTCATGGAGACATCTGCCAAAACATCAATGAATGTGAACGAAATATTCATGGCAATAGCTAAAAAGTTGCCAAAGAATGAACCACAGAATCCAGGAGCAAATTCTGCCAGAGGAAGAGGAGTAGATCTTACTGAACCCACACAGCCAACCAGGAGTCAGTGTTGTAGTAACTAAATCTCCAGTTTGAACTAGCTGGAATTTTCTTCTGCTTCCTAAATGTTAATAACAGTGGAATTGGAGCATTTAACCAGCCCAGTATGACTTCCAAAAAGAAGAGACTTACAATAGAGTCAAGTTTCTAATACAGAATTATTTTAAGTGTTTTGAACTTAATTTTTAATAACATGCATGTGTCCCTCTGACTAATATTTCAGCAATAGAAAGGGAAAATGAGAACTGTATGTACACTTGCTTCATTGGAGAGTTGGGGGAATCATTCCTCATCACTAAGGATATAGACAAATGATTAACCAGCCAGTTTCTCCACATTGGTACAGTAGTTACCTATGAAAAATATATGCAACTTATTAATTTGGGATTTTTAAAAGGTCATTTTTTAGAACCAGATTCTAAAGATATTTATGCTTAGCTATTTGTTCCCCTTCAAATGTGTGAGCTCTTCAACAAAAATGAAACAAACCAGGTGTCTGTGATTTCTATGTAATCACTGCGGGCCATTACATAGGTTTTGTTGTTTGGGGGCAGAGAGGGAGCTTTTGTTCCCTTTTGACATAATATAGTCAATGCACTAACAATTATGTATATTCAAACTTGATTATTTGAAATTCAATCTTCAGCTGTACTGTAAATAGGGTACTCTATTGTGGTCTCCATATATTTAATACTTTTCTGTAATATTTAAGAGTTGCTTAAAAGTATACAAAATGTACAGTTACTAAAACAGCTAATTCTTTCCCTCTTTGGACAGAAGGGGCTTCAGTTCTTACATGGTTAGAACTATAATAAACAATGTACCCGTAATTTGTAACATAAGTATTGCAATATGTTAGTAACAATCTTGCAGCCTTGTTTTCCAAAGTTCATTTTATTTC